GACTCTAGAGTCTAGACATTCAATACAGCTTATTTCCCTCATGTGTGGGGATCGAAATAAAATTTGTGAATCGTATCGGCCGCGAAGGCATACCGAAAATGTTTGAGCATGTTTTCTATAGATAAAATTATAGATATTTAACTAAGGCGGCTTATTTTAAAATAAACTGTTTAATAAATTTCATTAATTAAAAAAATATACATCTACATAAAAATAATAAGCAAAACTATAAGTTTTATATAATGAGAGAAATATTTATAGTATATACGTTGATTTTGTTAAATACTTTCTTCTTTTGTTGAGCATGGCATGTAATGAAGAGTATTTTCCCTTGAATGAAGCTTATTATTACAAAGGGACGTAACAACATTTTAAAAATACTTTATGCGGAAATTATTTAGTAGGCATTAATATAGCTTATTTTTACGAGGGAATTAAAACTATATAAATAAATAAATAAATAAATAAATAAATAAATAAATAAATAAATAAATAAATAAATAAATAAATAAATAAATAAATAAATAAATAAATAAATAAATAAATAAATAAATAAATAAATAAATAAATAAATAAATAAATAAATAAATAAATAAATAAATAAATAAATAAATAAATAAATAAATAAATAAATAAATAAATAAATAAATAAATAAATAAATAAATAAATAAATAAATAAATAAATAAATAAATAAATAAATAAATAAATAAATAAATAAATAAATAAATAAATAAATAAATAAATAAATAAATAAATAAATAAATAAATAAATAAATAAATAAATAAATAAATAAATAAATAAATAAATAAATAAATAAATAAATAAATAAATAAATAAATAAATAAATAAATAAATAAATAAATAAATAAATAAATAAATAAATAAATAAATAAATAAATAAATAAATAAATAAATAAATAAATAAATAAATAAATAAATAAATAAATAAATAAATAAATAAATAAATAAATAAATAAATAAATAAATAAATAAATAAATAAATAAATAAATAAATAAATAAATAAATAAATAAATAAATAAATAAATAAATAAATAAATAAATAAATAAATAAATAAATAAATAAATAAATAAATAAATAAATAAATAAATAAATAAATAAATAAATAAATAAATAAATAAATAAATAAATAAATAAATAAATATATATATATATATATATATATATATATATATATATATATATATATATATATATATATATATATATATATATATATATTTTTTTTTTTTTTTATTTATTTATTTATTTATTTTAAGAGCGTAAAATCTTAAAGTTTTTTTTGTCACCCAGAATATGGTTTTTGTAAGCATTAAAAATGTCGCGTACTCAACGCAATACCTGGACTTAACGTTACAGCACTGACGGCAGATATTGCACCTTACTTCATACACTCTTAAAGAAAACGAGCCTTCCCGCGGCATAACATACGCCGCTATTTAGTTTTTTCTACTTTTCAGTAATTCATAATTTGTGAATTCGACAGTACCAACGCTGACACTGAAAATATTTCTTTAAAACACTATAAGTAGCTCGTTAAGGACCATAACCTCCCCCCCCCCCCTTCCCTTCTCCCCCCCCCCCCCCCCCCCAACGTTTAAAATCGTTTCAAACTAAATTATCTGCCCCTAATAGCCGTCACTAAACCCGACTCCACGAAGGTAAACATAGCGTGAACCATTGCTCACTAAGACCATGTAGGGGTGAGGATGGTAGGGAGCGAGTTTACAGCTTGTTTTCTAGCGTCTCCCAGAAGAGAATTATATATATAGATAGATGTGAGGGTAGAAGAACGAATACCAGAGGAGAGGAAGAAGGGACTCACCCGTAAAGCTCACAAAGATAGGCGAACTTAGCGCATGCTCTAACTATAGAGGGGTTACACTTTTGTCCAACCTATACAAAGTATTCAATAGAATATTATTAAACAAGATAAAAAAAACACGGAGAAACCAAATTGCTACCCTGCGCATCATCATTGAACAGTTCCAATAGTGGAACTCATCTCTCTACATTAATTTCATAGATAACGAGAAATCCTTTGATAGGCTGGATAGACCGTCAATGTAGTAATAGTAGAGGCACTATGGTTGCTATAGAAAAAAAGTCAACATCATTCTGTCCTCATATGAAGGTCTGAAATGTCGACTACAGAAGTCTTTCCTGTACGTACGGGTGTAAGGCAAGTGTATCAAGTTTGTTACAAGTTTGCCACATCCCACAAACAAACAAACAGATAGTGTGAACTAAATACCAGCCGGTGTAAGAGTGTAGTTTAGCCTATTCTCGTGGATTTTGTGACAACTATGACCTCGCGATTTGTGGAGTAACCAATGAAGGAGATGAGTGGAGAGCTTCTTGTCAGGCAATGTCATCATTGAACAAAAAATCAGACATCATCAGACTCATGCTATTTTGTTAACTCTAAGTGCCATGTAGCTAAATAACACACCCGCAAAATTTCCACCAACAAAATTTGGAGATAATGTACGCGTACCAGAAGATGACAGACGTCTTTTGAAGTTGCATGAACAGCGAGGGGGCTTTCTACAAGCTTAGAACATAACATGGTGTTCAGTGTTTCTTCCAGACTTTTTTCTCCGGGTAGACGTTTTTCAGGGGGGGGGGGGAGCGCAGAGTTTCTTCCAGGCATCTCTTCGGGGGGGCGAAGCCCCCCCGAAAAATTTTTACCGCCCCCCGAACGAAATGAAATTTATATAATTTATATAGAAAATATATACTTTTAACAGTGTCCGCCCCCCCGAAGAAAGTTTACCGCCCCCCCCCCGAAAATTTCAAGTGCCCCCCCGGAGAAAAAAGTCTGGAAGAAACACTGGGGGAGCGAAGAGATGGTGTTATCAAACAACTGTAAAATCCAAAAAGGAAAGTAGGCTGAAAACGGAGTCAATGGCCTCAATGGCGCCTAACCAGTTGACACGTGTGCTTAATTGTGTTGGAGGGGATCCCTTCCAACACTAAAATTAAGAACGAAGAAGAAGAAAAAGAAAGAAACAAGTGTATATCAGAAGTGAGTGTTTCATTCTGCACGAGAAACTGCTCACATTGTCATCCGTGATCAATGTGACGCGATATTAACCATCACCCGATTGTGCCAGCCAGTTTTTACTTGACTGATTGCGGGCTATGGCGTTCAAATACTCATACATTCCGAATACATGGCTAAGGCCGAGACTCTAGATATCTAGACGGTGAAGGCCATAAAAATGTTATATTACTGGTTAATTAGCGACCTAGTGACGTCTCACAACGCGGACTCTGGGAAGACCCAGGTGTGGATAATACAATAATATCGAGGAAATTATAAAATCCCAATCGTGTGGAAAAAATATCTTGTCTGCTTCTCTTCTGTATTACATAAATATAACTTCTTTGGTCATACATACATACAACATGCTTTTTATTGATTTTAGACTCTTACTGACTATCGTCAGTTTTCATAACTTGTGAGAGATCATCATATGATGTGAGATACATAAAGAATCGATTACAAAGATAGTTGTTATGGCCTACACACTGAATATTATATCTATGTTAAAATAAATTCACATTTTTAGGGAACTAAATAATGATAATGTTGCCGAAAAGTTGTCCAGTTTTAAAAAAGCTACTTATACTATAAACACTTTTAGTATAATGGTAAAAACTGATATTTTGGTTTTCAACTCCAGTTCGTTCATGAGGTTTTATGTCTAATTAAAAATTGAACTTCAGATTTTTTGTTGTTGTTCTTCTATATTGCAATTTGTAACGTGACCAGTGATATATAGGCCTAGCGGACCCCGGGCCTTAATAAATAAGTACACGATGGAAATTTAAGTCAGGGTGGGGGAGGGGGGGGGGGGGGTTAGGCGTTTATTTTGTCCACCCCTGGATATAGGGCTAAAGAGTTCTTTGAAGTATTAATTATAGTTACACTAATAATTACCTAATTAGCCCACAGCCTTGGATATGGAACACATTAAACCTAACATTTGTTTAGCATTGTGAAACAAACACAACTGTCATCTACAACTGTAAAAAGATTTTTTTAAATTTCAGCAAACACGTTTCTTGGCTTGCATGCTCTACATTTAAAAGTAAAATCGAATCTGGTAATGCCACGGACAAAGCTTTATCTTGTACGATTCGTAAAAATCCCTGAAAATATATGATCAAATAATGAAAGGGCGAAATAATTGATGTAACTATATTTAATTATTATGTGAGCATCAGGACTTTTTGAGAAAAATAATTTCACAAAGAAATTAAAAATTATAAATTAAAAAGTTAAAACAAATAGCACAATGTTTGAAATAATTTCACAAAGAAATCAATTTATAAATTAAACAGTAAAAAAAAATTGCACAATGTTTGAAATAATTAGTACTTCGTTTAATGACATGTTGGACCACAAAATTTCTAGTAGGTTCTAAATAACGCTTTAATAAAATGTTAAACACATAGTTTTCTGATCAATTTTAATTTTAGTACAATTATGTTTCAGTAAAATATCATCTTGGGTTAAAAGAATATCTTTGTCCGTCTAACATTCAATAAAAAAGTGTAATAGTAGTCAACAGTTTATAAAATAAAGATTTTTTAGTTCGTTGATCTCTAAAAAAAATGTTGTTGCGTTATTTTTTTTTTTATCACACTCGCTCTTGTGTTAAGAACACGTTCTGGTCGAATACAGAGAAATTAAGTCAAGCAACTGTGTGAAGTAGCTTGACAAGGTTGACTTTAAGAAAATAAATCTTCACAAATAATACCAAAATTTTGGAGTTTATAAAATTAAGATTGAAATTTCTATTAAAAAAACAAAACGATAGAAATTCTAATACACACATTTAATATTTAAATTCATCTTGTTAAAAAATAGAATTATATACATACAATTTTTTAAAGAATAAAATTGAGAAAATTCGTCGTTTAAATAGAAAACTAGCTAATATTTGTTGACAAGTTAAAACCGTCATCATGGACGCCATGGACGTGTTCATCAATTACGTCACCGTGTGGACAATGCTCGGGGTGTGCTGTGTGGGCGTGATCACCAACTCCATCAACATCTCCGTCTTCTTCAAACAAGGGTTCCACGAGGGCGCCACCATCTCCATGACCTTCCTCTCCTTCTGGTCCCTCTTCAAGTGCATCTGTGGCATCGGCTACCGACTCGGAGGCCCGGTGGGGCTGGTCTCACCTGCCTTAGGACTCACCTGGAAAAACATCACCCTGCCGTATGTCGAGTTCACGGGCATGTACGCAGGGTACGTCTCGTTTGCTCTGGCCGCGTTTATCTCCATAGAAAGATGTCTGTGTGTGAGCAAGCCATTCACGGCCAAGAAGATCATCACGCCCAAGGTTACACTCACCGTCCTGCTCTCGATTTCTGTTGTTGCCAGCGGGGCCTACATCGTTGTCTACTTCATGTACGACATACAGTTCGAGTATAGCCAGATTTTTAACACAAGTGTGGCCAAATACATTCACAGTAACTTCTACGACGCTAAATCCGACATCGTAATGTCTTATTACCAAGTAATGGCCATTCTAATTCCGACATCCGGGTTCTTTATCTTGACCATATCATCCACCATCACTGTCCACTACCTGAGAAAATCGACACAGTTTTTAAAACATAAAACTGACCACAAGCTGAACAACCCAGTCTGTGTTATATCCAACAGAGAGAAACAGGTAGTGAAAACGTTGCTGGCTGTTATCTTAGTCTACATCATCAACCTCTTTCCTCGCCTCATCTTCTACATCGCCCAGCTCTGGGAGCCGGAGTTCCAGCTCCTGAGGAAGTACAACAAGCTGTTTGTCCTGGTGGCCGCAAGCATCTCTGTCTTTGACTTCAGCAACGCCTCCATCCATTTCTTCATCTACTACAACATGAGTTCCGGGTTCCGGAACAATTTCTTCAAGGCCTGCACTGTAGTCAGTTACCCCAGGTCTTGACAGTCCTAATTAACCCCAGCTTAATTAGCCACAAGTCACAGTAATCAATTTGTAATTAAGCACAGTAGTTTTATTTGTTTATTTTATTATAAAATGATATTTCATTAAAGGAAAATATTTTTAATGAACTATTTGTGAAGTGCATTTGAATTTTAAATGAAAGTTTTTAAATGTAAATTTTGAAGCCCTTTATAAATTGGAATTTAATGTTTTAAAGCTCTAGAGAGTAAAAAGGGGAGCCGGTCGTTTTCCCTAAAGACACTTGCCCGAATGCTGTTTACCCGAAGGCCGTTTTCGCGAATGGACACTTGCCCGAATGCGACAAACGCCCGAATGGAAACTAGCCCGAATGCGACGAACGCCCGAATGGAAACTAGACCCAATGCGACAAACGCCCGAATGGACACTTGCCCGAATAGGACAAATGCCCGAATGGACACTTGCCCGAATGCCGTTTGCCCAAGGGCCGTTTCGCGAATAGCGGTTTCATGCAATAACGTTTTGCTGTTGTTTTCACGCGTCACACCCTCGGAAACACCTATTGAAGTCCAAAGCCCCCCCCCCCATTCACGTGAGGTCGGTCGTTAAGGGAGGTAGCCCCTCCGGTCTACCGGGAAACTTCCGGTGGGCCCCCAGGTTAAAATCCCGCAGGGCCCCCATGAACGTTCCCTAAATTGAAATACATTAAGAATCGATTGCTAATCTCATTGTCTTCAACACACCTTGAGCCCTTTTGCTTTTGTCAATAAAAACCAATATTTTAAGTGAATTGAACAATGACTCAATTATACACCACCTAACCGAAATTGTGCCCAGCTTAAAGAAGTTACTTATTTTACAACCACTATTTAAATAAGGTGTGATTTTTTGTTTTATAATTTCAATTGATGTTTTATGCCCGATTAAAGTAATACTTTCGATGGATTATTTTTGTTATATAATTTTAGACCTAATTTTAATTTTTAAAGAAACTCCTGGTTCTCTATGTAGGTCTGGGTCTCAGACTTTAATGGGGGGGGGGGGGGGGCAATTCACATTGAAGATGTCAATCTTGGTTAGGACAGAAGACGATGTTAAAGTTTATAAATAATTTACACTTCAGTAAATTCAGCTTGAAAGTTTCCATCACAAGCAATCTTTTGTTATCGCACCATTGAGTTATCTATCATTGGTTATGTAAAGCTTAACTCAAAATAAAATCAGTATTTTACTCACCATTAATTTGAATTAATTATTTTTTAGTAATAATCAAAATAAAATAATAAATCTATTTGCCAGTAATGAATTATTTTAATGTTTACATCATGCTTTTAATATTGTTAATTTACCATCAATAATTAATTAATTTTATACTTTTTTTTAAACCACTGAAAACCTTATATTTCGTATATCGAATTCATTAATTTTAAAAAATATCTCGCTTTATTATATTGCAGTTTGGTAGGTATATAAAACAAAAAAAAACTATACAATTTTTTTTTTTAAAATCCAGAAGTTTTCTTCTCCGTCAACTTCCATAACATCTTATTTTTTTAGTTGACGATGGTCAAAAATTTCTTTTATCTGCTTTGCTTGAGTCGAACTTCCTCTATAATAACAGAGTACTCGTATCTGCTGAGAATAAAATATTTGTTTGGTTTTCTCCCTGAATTGATGTATTCGAATAACGCAAGAACATAGCTTTCATATCATAGTAGAACATTTCCTATTTTTGAAAACTAACTAGATCTAGGGTGTGGATTTTTTACTTTGTCGAATAGCAAAAAGAATATTGTACAAACATCATGAGCTGAGTAATACATTACTCACAATTAATTCGCTACCAGAATAACGAAAACGTCATCACACCGTAAACTACATTGAACATTGGCCAGGGCATCCTGGCTAGTGCGCGCATTGGCCGGCTAATGTACGAAATACATTGTCAATTTTAAGCTATTCTTCTGGCAGGTCAAATGAGGTGGTTGTTGCTGATGAGGCTTGGGCCGATGGTTTCATGGGGCCACTGGAACTGTGGCTCAAGTGGCTCTTCTCGATGGCTCTCGCATTAGGGTGAATGGTGGAGGTGGGAGCGCTTCACAGCTGACGTGAGTTAGGGATTGTTTGTTGCATTATTGCGTAGTTAGTTAAATGGCATTTGGGATGGACTGCGTTTGCATGAGGCAGACGGGCAGAAATATATTGTTGTTAAAAATTGCTGATCTAGATAGGCCAGGGGTCGGCAACCTTTTGAGACGGAAGAGCCAAAAGTTACAATCTACTAAATTTCTCATCTTTTGAGGAGCCACTAACATTTTTATGTGCGCTTCGGTAGTGGAAAGCATGGAGCCATTGCCGCGGGGCTGGCTATGGCGGCTGTCAGCTATCCATTGTTTTTTATTTTGTTTAAAGTTGTTTTTGTTTTTACAGTATATTATTTTCAAGTTTCTAAAATGGAATAATGTAATTATTTTGGAACTGGCAAGCCGCAGGTTACCGACAGATTTCCAATGTTAGTATCGTCGATATGTAGCCATGTATTTTATTTAATAAAATAGTATTACAAACACACAAAAGTGTTTATTCATATTTAATTTTGAATTAAAGTTAAAACATATGAAGAATAATTAGAAATATCTTTTTTTCCTAAAACAAAGTGTTTTTTTTAACTGTTAAACTAAAAAATAAATGTTTTGCTGTTTTCTGCTTATCATTGAAATTATTAATTTTAGTAAAATACTTTCTTTGAGTTGCTTCCCTTTAAAGTTATTATTCTGTCTTAGATGGGAGATCATTTATGTATTCTTGAAATACACGTCATTTGTTTTTTCAAACGCAGATGTTAAATTGATATGCATTCCCTTTACCATGCAGGGGATGTATGTATTAGACCTGAAAAAATGTTTTTTTTTTAAAATTACTATAATAACAAGCTTTTTTTTAAATTGATGCACTAAAAAGAAAAGAAAATATTTTGAAATATACGATTTTCTTTTAGTTATTTCAATTTTAAATATTGGTTCATTATTATATATATATATATATATATATATATATATATATATATATATATATATATATATATATAAAGAAAAAAATGTATTTTCATATGAATTTATATAGTTAAAGAGGTAGGGTAGTATTGGATCTACAATTTACTAATTTTTCGTTAGTTTTCACGATCTTTTTTGTCTACCTGTATCAAGCTTAAATAAATAAGGTTGTCGAATCAATCCGATTAATTTCAGCTACGTCACCGGTGTCGTCACAAGAATTACTGCTGGGTGAAAGAAATTTTAATCTTACTCCCCCCCTCCCCTCCCCGCCCCTCCCCCCTCCCTCCATGTCATGTAGCACGCTTAACTCACGTCCACACCACACCTGAAGAAATACAAAAAAAGTTATAATTTATACGCTAAGTATGGACTTGAATCAGTGCCCCCCCCCCCCCCCCCCACCCACAAAAGAAAGCTTCAAAATCCACCACCCTAAAAGAAACACTGGAAGCATGATGATAGAAATAACTCCTTTGAGAAATTGATAACAGATTTATGACCGTTGCCAAGAAAAGAAAACTTATTTTTCTGAGCCAAAAGTAAAATATTCATGAACAATCTGAATATAATGTTTGTTATAAAGTTTTGTTGTAAAGATTTTAAAAATCCTCAGTGCTAATAGAGAATATTGTTTGGGGAATATCCGGTTCTTAGACCCTTGTAGCAACACACGGTGCCATATATGTGACAGAAATGTATGTGCGTGTGTGTATGTAGGGAAATGGTGGGGTGGAGAGGGGGTAGCTTCTGTAGTGCCATAAGTGTATCAATGCTTGTCTTATCTTTGTTCAAGCATTCGCTATAAATAGGCTACAGTACACATTGAGAGATTTCCCCGAAGTTACTTTGAACATTTCTCGGAAAATTTTTGAAATGTGTTTGACAGCCGTTGTTGTATGACGAACGTTGTATGTTGTATGTTGTGTTGGGTGTGTGTGGGATGACATCATGCAAAGATTGGAGTGGCTAAGGTAGCCAGTTTTAGGTAGGTAAACAAGGAATTTGTTCGTTTCTTTTAATTTAATACTTGAATAAGTCTTAGTGATCAATGTAATCAATGTATTGATTTTGATTACAGATAATCGATATTGGCTGATTTATTTTACATGGCGTAGAATTTACAAAAGGAAAAATATTTTTCAGTAAACAGGAACTTGTTCGTTGTTTATCCTTGACAAAACTGTGCAAGCAATTGTTGAACTGAGTGGATAAAAGTTAGACAATAATTGTTGTAGATATAGATCTGATACAGTTTGTAGAGTTACTTTATACTTCGTGTGGTCTGTTGGCTTAAGGTTTGTATATGACTTACAAGATTAATTAGTGAAAATGTGTTAATGAGTTGTGGTTTAGGCGAGAACGGAGACAGGCCTTAGACTTGGCTATTTTACCCCGAAGTTATGTTAAAAATATGAAACGATTCAAAGATTTTGGTGAGATGAAGTATTTTGTAGTGAAAAAAACATCAGCAGAGATAAGCGAAAAGTTCATGATTATAATTTTAACAAATTCTTGTATTGTTCATTGGAAAAATGGTTTGAACGCTAATTATTATAAAATAATATTATGATTAATAATTATACTAATTAATAATCAATTTAAACTTCGCATTTCGTAATTAAAATTATTGATTTCATTTTTTCTTAGATATATTTCTAACTGTAGCAATAAATAATGTCTGATGTCGCGTTTACTTTTGAAAATGTTGTACATTATTATAAAAACTGAAATAGGATACACAAAACACTATTTACTACAGGTTAATGAAAGCAGCGATTAAATGGTTAGTGACGCCAAACACTAATGAACTTAACAACCCGAGTAAAACTTTTAAGTCCATGATAACATGTCGAAACAGTTCAATGATCAGCTGCTGCTAGACGCTCTAGCTTCCGGAAACAGGGAGGAAATCACGCGAGTTATCTACCTTACACGGAACAAGATCAGGTCTCTGTCACAGAGCGCCTTGAACCTCGGGCTGTCGTCTGCTTGCATGCTGGGCCACGGGTCTCTGGTCGAGTTTTTGGTGGAGCGTGGGGCGGGTCTTGAGACACGGAACGCGCGGGGCGACACCCCACTTTTGATCTGCGCAAGAACCGGAAGAGTAGACATGGCTGGGATGCTAATCCAGGCTGGCGCATGCGTCAACGCTTGTGACACTTCCGGTGACACGCCCCTGATTCTGTCGGTTAAATCTCCCGATGCTATCGAGTTGACTAGAACTCTGCTGAGCCAGAAAGACATTGACGTGGATCACCAGAACATCGAGGGCAACACTGCCCTGATGGAAGCTGTTCAAAGCCTGAACTGGGATGCTGCAGGAGGACTCATGAGAGCCGGAGCTGCGGTGGATGGTGTGGCTGTGTACAGCTCGGGGGCGGCGTGGGTGTGTGTGTATAGGGTCAACAGCAGGGGTGAGAGTGTGAGGGACGTAGCGAATAGGATGTTTCTATCCCAGGCTATGAGCAGGGATATTGTAAACATGGAGCGATTGTTGGAGTTGAAGTTGTGTAAGTTTAACAAAGAGGATATTGAAAAGTGGGTTTTTGTCATGGTGGAGGCTATACAAAGCTCCATTCAACAGCACGGGGTCACTGAAGTGGAGCTGAAGATCATCTCTAAACTTGTAGAACACGGCGCTGATGTTAATTACACACACAAGGACGGGGCCACGCCTCTAAATTTATCCATTTCCGCCGGAAGTTACGACCTAGTTGATTGTTTATGCAAACACGGAGCAAATGTTTCCCATAATTCTCTAAAAACTGCAGTTTGTTGTAATAATTCGAGTTTAATTCCACTGTTGGTCAAGTTTGGGGGTTCTGTCAACGTTGAGAACAGTTCTGGAACTCCGGTCTACTGCGGCTCGGCGCTGAATGCCGCACTCACTGAAGAATATCTCGACTGCGCCAGGTTACTGCTCAGCCATGGAGCGTACCTGGACATTAAAACAGCTGTCGTTGACGCGGTCAAGTCTAGAAAATCTAGGACCTTGAAGTTTCTGCAAGAAGAATACGCAGACGATGTTCGTTATGTCGTTTGCACGTGTCGTCCTGGTCTGCTGCACATTGCAGTTGGTGCAGAAGATCTGGAGATTATAGACCTTCTGCTGGATTCAGGCGCAGACGTCAACCGCGTGCACGACTTGAAGACACCGCTCATGTGCGCCCTACCACACCACGTCATCAAACATTTGATCGAACGCGGAGCAGACGTTAACAAAAAGGTTCTCACGACGGCCCTGTTTAACCTACTTTCTCTGTTTGACGCTTTCCTTGTGACCCACACCGACGGGCTGGTGAAGTTTGAGGAAATTGTTCGCACGTTGCTGGAACATGGCGCCAAAGTCGATGACGTGGATCCAGACGGCAACACAGCTTTGATGATTTTGGCGGGAAAGGAAAGAACGGAAGGGATGATGGAACTTTTCATAGACAGAAAAAGTAATATAAATGCTATCAACTTAGAAGGAAATTCTGCCTTACATTTTTCTGTAATAAATAATTTACTGCCAAATTTGGTTGTTTTAATCTCACACGGTGCTGACTGTAATATGCAAAATAAGAAAGGTCACACGCCTTTGATGGAGGCAGTTTTGGTTGAAAATTTGGAAATGGTTAAACTTTTGGTAGAACATAAAGCAGACGTGAATATTTCAGACTGTTTGGGCAACACGGCTCTGCTGCATGCAGCAGACTTGTATTCCAACAATGTCAGTCTGACAAACGCCTTGCTACAAGCAGGTGCTGGCGTCAATCACCAAAACAACAAAGGCATTTCCGCTCTCATGATTTCGGTGGTCAATCTAAATATAGACTTATTCCAGCTCTTGCTGGAGAATGACGTCAACGTGGACGTAGAAACGTTCGATGACGTCACTCCAAAAACTCCGTTAGCGTATCTGCTCAACAAATGGCGGCCCTGTAACGAGAGTCTGCAGTGCGTCAAAGAGTTGCTGAACCATGACGCAGACGCCAAGTGGGTCAGACTTGACGTCATACATCGTCTGATCGCCCTGAGCAGTGAGAGCCTCATCCCGAAGCTCATTCACGCTGGAGTTGCGCCCATCGATGTTCCGGTCAAACCGGAAATAACCGGCTTCACAACTAACTCAATGGTCTCTCCATTACAGCTATCATTAGAAACCGGAAACGCGTCATTAAGTGAATATTTTATTGCCATCTGGTTCCTGACACCGTCAGACATACGCGTCCTATCCGGCCGTGAGGAAACTCTCCAACACATGCAGTACACAAGCACCGTCTGCTACAGCCTCCTCAAGCAGACCTCAACCCAACCGTTGTCTCTGACGATTCTAAGCTTCGTCGCCGTCTCGTCTGCTATAGGCGCAGGACCCAACAGAGCAGAGCGCGTTCGAAGCACCCAACTACCGGTGCCGCTCCAAGAAAAGCTGCTGTTTCATGGTGATGTTGCTGAGGCGGAGGACGGGGACCTGGAGGACTCAGATCTGCTGATTGCCTTGACGAGAGACGCGCTCCAGGGAAGTGAGGAGTTCTTCGAGAGTGACATGGACTTCTACTCTATAGTGGCAGAGGGCGGTGACATGTCTAATTAGGGGATGTCACTGACAAATTACATGAGGTTCAGTCACTGACAAAGACCCGTAACACATTTTCACTGACAAGTGACATATTATGATACAGTGTCTCAAAGGTGACAAGACTTTTGTGGGTTAATAAATTAAACGCTGTAGGACTGTTGTGATATATTAAATTAGACTATGTATGACTGCTTTGATATATTAAATTAGACTATGTATGACTGTTCTGATATATTAAATTAGACGCTGTATGACTGAATAAATTAGAGTATGAATGACTGTTCTGATATATAAAATTAGGCGCTTTACGACTGTTTTAATATATTTAACTAGAATCCACCAGGATTATTGTGGTATATTGTGATATATTTAATCCCCTTGTACCTAACACTGTCGGCAATATTTCGACAAATTACAAAGGAAAACGTCTTTCAAGTATTTAAAAGGCTTTGTGATTGTATCATAGTAGTTTATAAATTGCTTCTAGTGACTTCAAAATGAAATATATTTGTATGTGTATAAATTATAAGATAAAATGTCCTCGTTATGTATTGGCACTTGTGTATAAACGAAGACACGCTGTGCTTATTTAAAGACACATTGTCAGTTCCACGTCTATTTTTATTGCTGACAAGCTAAAGGAAATTCCCGATTCATTTAAGGAATACCCGAAATATTAAGGCATCGCGTTTTAGTTAAGGGTGGGAAAAACTGATATTATGCAAAAATCAATATTCCATTGATTATTTTTTTTTGTTAAACTTATCCATATGGTCTAAATAGATATATTTAGAATAATAAGAAGATATAAAATCATCGTTCCGTATAAAAAATTATTTGTTTTATTAACTAAAAAACAAATTGAAAATTAGCTAATTTGATCTGTCTAATTGACTGTGTACAATGTAAATGCAGAGTTCTAATATCTACAATTTTCTGTCTCAAGATTATATGACTTTCTTGATACACAAGTGAGAAAATGTCTTTCCATAAAACTAGCTATAGGGATCTAAGAATAGAAACAGAGAAAATCTAACACGAATATTTGTTAGTTCAGTATAGTATAGTGAAAATAATTATTGGTTGTTATACTTCACTTCATTTCAAAATATATGTATAGAGAAAATAACGTGTTATTGTATTTTGAAAGTGGTTGCTACTCACTTTAACATGTATTTTAAAGAAAAACGAAATGGGGTAAATGTGTATTAATTGTGGTTATGAAACCAAAAGTGATTATGTAAATTTGTGAAGTTACGATTAAGTAACAATCATCGTAACTAGACTGCACTGTTCTAAGTCACTGAGTTACTTCGCTTGTTCCTGCTTTATTTTCATATGAGCTAAAGATGACACATGCATTTAAACTCATGAAGTAAAAAAAGCCTTATGTTGTCCTACCTAGGGACTGAAGTCGGATATCAACTAGCGCAATTTGAACACATGTCTACTTATCACTTGAAACAATGCCACTTACATACCAACTTTTAAAATGTTTCCCGGAAAAATATCGTTTTATCGTGCTGAAAATTAGAAGAAAAATAAGTTTAAATGTGGTTTGAAAAGTTTGTGTTTACTTTTTCAGGAAGTTACTCGCCAGCCAATCATTTTATTTGATTGGGGATTTAAAAATCACGCGACAATCATTCAGTTTTAAAACAAGTTAGACAACACTTGAATGTCCTGCCAACTGTCCTCTGTCCTTAGTCCTCGACGTCGCTCAACCTCGGGATAGGAGAAGAGATTATCTGGTGTTAAACGAGAGGAGATTATCCAGCGTGACACAAAGGAGATTATCTAGTGTGACACTGAGGAGATTATCCAGCGGGACACAGAGTAGGCCTGGACATCGCTGGACAGTACGGCGCCTCCCCCTCTGAGAGAATGTACCACCCTGTAACACACCACCAAATATAGACATGAAGAAAATCAACTCCCAGACTGGCGACTGCCTGAAGTATGGCGGTCTACAAAGAGAATTGGGCTCTAGAGTTCCTGAATTCTGTATAAGAGGACAAAAACTACAGCGACATAAACAAGAAGATTCTCATGAAACTTTTAGAACGCGGTTCTAACGGGAACTCCACCGATGCCAGGGGCGTCACCGCCCTGATGGCGTCACCCCGACAAGGAGACTATGACCAGATGGAGATGGCGTGTCAAGGCGGAGCAGTGCCTACCCATGCGTGTCTGGTGCTGGCCGTCAAACTCAACCAACCGAATCTGATTCCGTTGTTGGTTCACTACGGCGCAGACGTCAACCTTCGTGGCACAGACCTGAGGCCGGTTTATTCCGGTTCGGCTTTAGACGTAGCATTATCAGCCGGCTACATCGATTGTGCCAAAGTTCTCTTGTACTACGGTCCCTACCTCAACATCCAATCGGCTGTAACGTCAGCTGTGACGCAGCAACAAAAGCAGACGTTGGCGTTTCTGCTGGACCAATGCTACGACGCCGTGTCGGGTTTGATGTACAACCACCAGCAGAACTTGCTCCACATAGCTGTCCAAAACGGCGACATGGACACCATTGACCTGTTGTTAGACGCCGGCGCCGACATCAACTACATCCACCACCAAAAAACTCCTTTGATGGTCGCAAGCCGCATCCACGTCATAAAGAATCTCTTGCTTCGCGGAGCTGATGTCAACATTAAGACCAGCGCCCCGCCTCTCGTACACGCCTTGTCCCAACCCTACTGCGAGCTACTCAATGAACACGTCAGTTTTAAGAACGACAAAGTGTTTCTTCTCTACTGGGAGGAGATTGTGAGTACACTTCTTCAGCATGGAGCCGACATAAATGGGGTGGATGCTATTGGATGTACGGGGCTGATGAAGCTTGTTGAAAAAGATGGATCAAAACGAATTATGAAACAATTATTGTATAACGGTATCTCTATTAATAAAACTGACAGATCTGGAAAAACGGCCCTACATTTAGCAGTAAAAAATAAATGTTTCCAGAATGCCAGATTTTTACTTAAATATGGCGCTGATTGTGAAAAACGTTGTAATATGGGCCACACCGTATTGATCGAGTCAGTTGTAGCGGGGGATTTGGACTGGGTTCAAACCTTGCTGGATCACGGTGTGGATACTGAGGCAGTGGATGTATCCGGCAACACCGCGCTGTGCCGGGCGGCTGATACCTTCGAGGACAACGCCCACCTGGTTCGTCTGCTGATCAAGGCGGGGGCGAAGGTCAACCACCCGAATACCTCAGGGTTGACGCCCTTGATGGTGGCCGCCCAGAGACTGAACGTTGAAACTGTCGAGGTACTGCTGGAGAACGCCGCGGACGTCAATGAAGTCGCCTATAGCTGTGACAGTGTTACAACTCCAATATCCCTGCTCCTCAACAAATGGAGACCGTCCTACGAGAGTTATGTGTTGGCTAAAATGTTGCTGGACCGTGGCGCGACTGCCCAGTGGGTCAGGCCGGATTCAGTCCACCGGATCATAGCATCGAGTTTTGAGAGCCTCATCCCCCCGCTGATATCTGCCGGGGTGGCGCCTTACGACGCCCCTATAAATCATTACATCACCGGCTGGCCAACCGCCCACACAGTCTCGCCGTTTAAATTAGCCTTGACCTTGAATAAAACGAAACTAGCCGATTATTTTATGAAGATATGGTACTTAACAAAAGACGATGTAGGACTTTTATCAAGAAATGAAGCTGTTTTACAAAGGATGAAAAAATTCAGCCCAAAAGGCGTGGCATATCTGAATGAAAAATCTAATGAGCCTTTATCTTTAGTTATCTTAAGTTTCATCGAAGTGTCCACGGCGATGGGTTCTGGGCCAACTAGACGAGAAAAGGTAAACAAATCTAAACTTCCGGTTTTGATGCAGAAGAAGCTGCTCTTCCGGGATGAGGTCATTGACCTTGAAGACGGGGACATTGAGGACGAGGACATTTTGATCGCACTGACCAGCAACGCAGCAGACGGGGACTCTTACTTTTATGAGAACGACGTGGAGTTTTTCCAGGACGTGATGTCTTCGGATGGCAGTACTGAGACCATTGACTCGGACTAGATGGACTTTACGTCGACTGGACTAGAGGGACGTTAGGTCGACTGGACTAGAGGGACGTTAGGTCGACTGGACTAGAGGGACGTTAGGTCGACTGGACTAGAGGGACGTTAGGTCGACTGGACTAGATGGAAGTTAGGTCGACTGGACTAGAGGGACGTTAGGTCGACTGGACTAGAGGGAAGTTAGGTCGACTGGACTAGAGGGACGTTAGGTCGACTGGACCACGGACTAGAGGGGCGTTAGGTCGACTGGACTAGAGGGGCGTTAGGTCGACTGGACCACGGACTAGAGGGGCGTTAGGTCGACTGGACTAGAGGGGCGTTAGGTCGACTGGACCACGGACTAGAGGGACGTTAGGTCGACTGGACTAGAGGGACGTTAGGTCGACTGGACTAGAGGGACGTTAGGTCGACTGGACTAGAGGGAAGTTAGGTCGACTGGACTAGAGGGACGTTAGGTCGACTGGACCACGGACTAGAGGGGCGTTAGGTCGCCTGGACTAGAGGGGCGTTAGGTCGACTGGACCACGGACTAGAGGGGCGTTAGGTCGACTGGACTAGAGGGGCGTTAGGTCGACTGGACCACGGACTAGAGGGGCGTTAGGTCGACTGGACTAGAGGGGCGTTAGGTCGACTGGACCACGGACTAGAGTGGCGTTAGGTCGACTGGACTAGAGGGGCGTTAGGTCGACTGGACCACGGACCAGAGGGGAGTTAGGTTGACTGGATTAGAGGGACGTTAGGTTGACTGGACTACGGACTAGAGGGACTTTAAGTCGACTGGACTAAGGACAATCGGGGGGGTGTTAGGTTGACTGGACTAGAGGGACGTTAGGTCGACTGGACCACGGACTAGAGGGCCGTTAGATCGACTGGACTAGAGAGACGTTAGGTCGACTGGACTAGAGGGACGTTAGGTCGACTGGACCACGGACTAGAGGGCCGTTAGGTCGACTGGACTAGAGAGACGTTAGACCGACTGAACCTTTGACTCGGACTAACGAGGCGCAATATCTCCTGTACTGATGTATTAGTGAAGGCCAGTTTATAAACTAAAGCTTGTAGCATGTACTTGTGCTTTAGCGTTATAATTGGAATTTGATTAATTCAACACTTACATTGGATGCTCTGTGCTCAATTCTATTGTGAGCGTTAAGATCTAGGTAATAATTTACTTAAAGTATCGTTGATAAAAATAGAACAGCTAGAGTTATAATGTTTAATTTTATGTTATCGACAAAGTCTAAAATTCTCATGTTATTGTTATCGAAAAAGACAACTTTGATTGCTTTTATCTTCAAACAGTGAGTGCCCAAATAGACAGAAAGCGCATTAGCAACGATTAGTTTTTATAACAATACTTCTCTATTTTAATGTATTAATTATCATGAATATTTATTGTATAAATGTACATTGTTCGGTTTTTTATTAAATGTTTGTGTGATCTGCACATTACCCCTTGTTTTGTTGCATCACGTTCATTAGTTTTAAAAACGTTTTATTAAAATTTGAGCTCATGCTCTTGTAGATGAAAAAATTAACCGAGGCTTTGATGAAGTCTAAGATGGTCAGAAGTCTTGTGGTCAGGAAGAAAATATTGTTGTACCTCCTGAGTAGGTAAAACTCTGGTTCGGCCAACTGGGCAACGTAGAACACAGTTCGCGGAAAAAGGTTGAGAATATTCACCAGCACCACCACTAGTAGCGTCTTCGCCGCCTGCTTTTCTTTCGGGGAAATCCCGAGATCTTTTTTCTTTGGGGGTTTAGCTACAGCGTCCCCAACTTTGTGAAGGAACTTGCTTGAGCGTCTAAGATAGTGAACTGTGGCGGCTGAACTCATACATAGGATTAGAAAACTGAGGGTGGGAATCAGAATGGCGACTGTCTGATAGTAGACCATGACGATAGCCCCGTTGGTGTAGTAGAAGTTGCTGTAGATGTACTTGGCGATGGTGGCGTTGAAAGTCGGGCTAAAGTCGTAGACGACCACGTAGATGAAGAACATGACGAAGTAGGCGCCGTAGACGAGGATTGAGATGGATATTAGAATAGTTGATGTAAATCTTGGCGTAAAGATGATCTTTACCGTAAATGGCCGGCTGACACACAGACATCTTTCCACGGAGACGAAAGCCGTGAGTGAGTACGAGACGTAGCCGGCAAATAAAGTCGTGTACTCGACGTACGGGAGGGTGAAGTTCAGCCAGGAGGTGCTGAGGGAGGGTGAGGCCAGGCTAATGGGTCCGAACATCCGGTGCAGCACTGCGCATGCGCATTTGAGCAGGTCCCAGAGAGCGATTGCCAGCATGGACCTCGTGACGCCCTCTGAGAACCCCTGGCGGAAGAAGACGGCGATGTTGAGGCTGTTGGTCACCAGACCGAGGCAGGCGATGGAGGTCAAGGTCCAGAAGTTGACGTACGTGTTGATGTAGCCAATCATTTCGTTCGTGATGACCGAGTTGTCCTGGCTGTTCGTGTACACCTGGGTGGTCAGAAAAATCTGGCTAATTTTAGTCGTCTGGTAGCTGTTGGTCGTCTGGTAAGTTTTAGGGGTCTGCATGACTGTAGCCTAGTGTAGCTTCTTCTCAAAGCAAATTTGGTATCTGGGTGTTCTAATAAATTCAAACAATGATACATCTGTTTTCATTTATTTTAGTCCTCTTCTGTAACCAATTTAAACATTTTCCTATAATCTTAAATTTCTTGTCAATATGTTTTTAAGAGAGACAATGTTAACTAAAGCAGCCATTTAGTCGTTTTTTTTTTAAACACTTAGTAGCCCCAACAACGTGTACGCTATGAACAATTGTTATTACTTTTAATTAAAACTGTGATCACCTATGATTATTCTTGTGATTACCTATAATTAAAACTGTGCTCACCTATGATTAAAATTGTGTTCACCTATGTTTATTATACTGACTCTATCAACATTGCCTTTCATCTTACAACGGTGATTTTAAAAAAATCGATTTTAAACGTATGAAATAACCACCAATTTAGGTTGGGTTTTCTTTTTTTAACCATGACGGTTGTATTTATCAAACTTATACTTCGTCCCAATTACCTTGTTTGTTTCTCTAATCACTTGTTATTTTATAAAATATTGGTTCGAAACACACACAGTAATAGGTGGGTGGGGAAAAATTATATTTGTTTAAATTATATTTAAAGGAACTGAAATAATAGATTTTTACCATAAAGGCTAAAGAACGTTGACTTAGAATTCTTCAGAAAGTATTCTATGAAATGCAAAATGCTTTTGAAATCGTACTGTATGCTTTTATTTTAAACTGGTGGCATTACCTTTCAACCTGGAACATGGTGTCCAGCCAAAAATCTGGAATCTACAGGCCAACTAAGGAAGACATGTAGACACGATCTGGAAGAAGTCACAAAGAAGATTGGATACATCTGAGGACAGTGGGAGGGACTAGTCCAGGACAGAGATGCCTAATCCACCAGTTTTAAATTATTCACCTTGATTTTAAGGCAAGGGTTAATCACTTGGTTAATCAGGTAATACATTTTGAGAACATTATCTGATACCATCATGCACCAGGCTAGTAATGCCCAAACTGTCATGATAAATATTGTATATCGATTGTCTTTCTGATGTATACCAGATGTAAACTACAATACTACTCTTAAATCTGTATCAGTCCTCACAAGCCGATTATGAAAACAGTAATACGAAAGCGAACACGCAAGGCAAACTGACGCTGTAAATTTCATGTCTGAGGCGAAAAGAAAATAAACCGGGAGTGATCTCCCCTAAACTTTCTCGAATATTCTTATATAACACTACGTGGGATGGCAACTCGGAATATAGACATGATTTTTGTTTACTTAAACTTTTAAAAATAGAATAAAATCTAGTAGAAGTTCTTCTTTGATAATTTCTTCACCAGCCTGCCTTTTCTAAGGAGCTTGCCGTTTGGGAGCTGTGCATCAAGAAAATTTAAGACATGTTTTCAACAAACAATTTAAACTCGAATTTAGGTAGAAAGAACAGACGAATTTTAGACGACATTTATATAGATGGTTTATGGCATCGACTCAACACTTTTATTATCAAAATAATGCGCTGCCATCAGTTTATATAAATAAAGTATTCAACTTAAAACAAAATCGAAAGTAATTTCATCACTAACTGCGCAAAAACAAAAACACATCAAATTATTTTTAAAACTGCGGGCTTGGGATATCAGGATTAGTTCTTTTCAACGGATTCTTTATAGGCAGGATTAGTGAATTTAATCTCCGCCTTCAGTGTCCAGAATGTTAATTCAATAATTGATCCTAAATTCATCCTAAATGTTAACCCTTAACATTACTCTCACCGAAGTTACACCCATAATCTTACATCTACCCACACCTTAACCCTTACCTAAACCCTTATCCTTACACTAACCTTAAACCCAAACCTTATCGTAAACGTTAGTTTTACACCTACGAAGGCCATAAATCAGACCCTGACCAAAGCCCTAACCATAACCCTCGTAAGGAAACCAATAGAAGTTAACATGCTATACAGTACACAGTACTGTATAGCATTGTCGTTTGATATTATTAAAACAAGACGACGGTCATACTTATTTAAATAAGATTTTAAACCGAAACCTGACTAAGCACGTGTTACTATATTTACAAACATACGTGTCTTTGTATCGTTGGTTGCTATGGTACGTGAGTGTTAAGGGGAAATAACTATTACTATAAACTTCAAATAGTTCCAGGAATTCCCGCTGTAAATAACTGGGTGAAGACCGAGTGCCCCGTCCTTGTTCCCAAACACAACAAGGTAAAAAAAAAATCTGTGTTAACCTGTGTGTGCAGTGGACTATTACACAAGTTTTGGCGACATTCAGACTAGCAGTATGGAACTGACAGACACCCAGTTTTATATAATATGTGGAGCAGCAGCTATATTAACAGCTGTTTGTTTACTGTTACTGATTTATTGTTGCTGCAAAGTAAGTACATTTCACTGTTATCGGAGATTTATTGGTTTAATTTTAAAAACAATTAGGTTAAGTTAACCTTTTTCTTCATGCTTAGGCCTTACCCTTTATTATTTAGAGTGCAGCAGCGAAAAACGCGTTGGCGAATAGTAATGTTACAGGAGTTGGAGAAAGTCCCGTCCGTCATTTAAATTACAACACCTTTGTGATGTGTGAGGGTATTCTGACTTGTACATATAAAAATACTTTCACAATTTTACAAACCTGAAATTAATTGGTTCATTGTGTTATTTGGTTAGTATAAGTTTAATGTATGGTTAATATATGGTTGATGTACGGTTAAAGTAAGCTAATGTATGGTTAATGTAAGATTAATGTATAGTTAATAAATGGCGGATGTATAGTTAATGTATTTGAAGTGTATAATTATATGTATGGTCAATGTATGGTCAATGTATGGTTAATGAATGGCTAATTTACAGTTAACCTATTTGAAATGTAAGTTAACGAATGGTTAATGTATGGTCAATGTATGGTTAATGTATGGTTAATGTATGGTTAATGTAAGGTTAATGTATGGTTAACGTATGGTTAACGTATGGTTAACGTATGGTTAACGTATGGTTAACGTATGGTTAACGTATGGTTAACGTATGGTTAACGTAAGGTTAACGTATGGTTTTAACGTATGGTTAACGTATGGTTAACGTAAGGTTAACGTAAGGTTTACGTGAGGTTAACGTATGGTTAACGTATGGTTAACGTATGGTTAACGTATGGTTAATGCCAATTGTTTTTAACCAGTGCTGCTGTGTTGGTGAGAAGAAAAAAAACAAAGTTACAAAGAGCAGTGGAAAATGTAAGTGTTGGATGTTGTCGCTCGCAATACATGTGATATATATATATATATATATATATATATATATATATATATATATATATATATATATATATATATATATGTAACGAGACTATTTGCCTGTAGTGCCAAATGTTAACGAGTTCTGCTCGACAACGCCAAATGTTACCGAGTCTAACCACTCATTCTACACAACATCGACCACAGTATAGATACTCGAAGATGCAGGTTCGCTATTGATCCTTTTATTACATGAATCAAAGAAATGCTTCACAATAATATACTGAATCAAAAGGAATGCTTCACAATAATAGTTTGAATCAACTGACTCCCAACAGTCCTCACTAGTCTTCATATAACTGAATACACATGTCTATCGTCCTTCTTAACACAATATAACCAACTTGATATGTCACACAGACTGACTGATCGAGAGAGAGAGCCCGAGATCTCAGCCGTCGTCTTCCTATATCCCCTTCATATTCGTAATCGTATTCGGTTCTATCATAATCGTAATTGTAATCGATTCTAATCGTTGCATCCGAATGTTTATTACGCCGCTTCTGTCGTACAGTCCGATTTAATAAGCCATCTGCACTGTGACGTCAGCCTGTGAACTGCGCAGCGGCTTTGTGATCGTTATCAGCCTAACACCTGCGTTATTACAACAGTCGTGTCAAAGTTGACAGCGCTTGTCGTATCCTTCCAAACTACGCCGTGGCTTTATGATCGTTATCAGTTGGCTTATCAGTCCAACACCTGCACTATTGCGTTGTTATCATCTTTGGTAACTACACCTAGTTACATCCACCGCCGCCTTTTTTTGTGTGTTTTCAACCACAAACAACGCTTGGTAGGTGCACTTCCTAAATGTCCATCGCACCATCGTAAAAAAAAATTTATTGTTCCATTCACTGTCAATGTCGTCCCATTCGTAAAAGATTGACAGTTATCCCTATTTCACATATCAAATGTGTCTACATCATATTCCTCAGACACAAAACAGTTCTAGAATTCACATCCACCCTTTTTCGTTTGGTGCCTTCACCAGTTCACTTTTATGACTTTTTGAACAGTCTGTTCTCATACCAGCGCGACCATGAAAGAATTGATGGTTGCTGACAAAAAATTTCGTATTCTTTCTGTTTCTCAAACTTCTCCGCGGACCACTTATCTGATGGTCTACTGTCTCCCTGCTTCTGGGAGGAACGGGATCCTCTTCGTTGCCGTTATCCTCCACTTGTGTATCGCTGTTGTTCTGTTGATGGTGACATTGTTCCGGGATGGGTATGAGAATTTCCGTGTAAGTTTCCGGTTCCCTAATTGTCTTGGGTTTCCTTGTGTGTAACTGCTCTTCTTGACTATGACAATATTTCTTTAATTGAGCAATATTCGCCCACCGATCCGGTTTGGCGTGATCGATGGGTCTTATCTTAAAGGGGCCACCTGCTACTTTAGGCATCTCCACGACTTGCCATATCTCCTGTCCCCAGAGATCGTGGATTTTGTTTCTGCCTAACGGGTGGCTACGCAGTAATACCCTGTCGTTCAGTTTGAGTGGCGGGTCCTTTGTCTGTACCGGCGGTTCCCTTCGCCGTGCTTCATGTTCTAGTCTTTCCTGTACTACCCTGTACATTTCTCTAATTCGTCTCATATGTTCATTCACATATTCCAGTGCAGTGTATGAGCCAGTCATACTCTCCTTTTTTCCTAGGAACAAATCAAGGGGGAGTCGAGCCTCCCGTCCGAACAGCAACATGTGTGGCGAAAAGCCGGTTGTGGCATGGGGGGTGCAGTTGTATAGATATACCAACTCTGGGAGAAAATCAGGCCAACGTTTTTTCTGTTCAGGTTCTAGAGTACGCAGCAAATCATGCATGCTGCGGTTGAACCGCTCGCACTGTCCGTTTCCTTTCGGATTAAATGTGGTTGTTCTAGATTTGTTGATCCCGTAGTGGCTGCACAGTTGGTTAATTACTTCTGACTCAAAGGCCCTTCCTTGGTCAGAGTGTAATTGTCTTGGTATGCCATATTTGATGAACCAATGTTCTATTAAGACCTTTGCCACTGTTTTGGCAGTCTGATCTCGTGTGGGCACCGCCACAGTCCATTTGGTGAATACATCAGTCATTACCAACACATGTTCCGTCCCATCCGATGATTGCTCCAACGACGTAAAGTCCATAGCCACAATCTCTAGTGGTTTTGTCGCTAGTAGGTGTCCTGATGGCTGTCTCATTTTGACAACTGGCATTTTCGCATGCTGACACCTCACACAAGCCTCACAATGGCGTTTGACCTCCATTTCCATATTGGGCCAGTAACACCTCTGTCGTAATATTTTGTGCGTCCTGTCCTGACCCTGGTGTCCTGCCCTGTCATGTGCCAACCTTAGCACTTCTTCTCGTAATTGTCCAGGCACCACCACCTGGTGTATTGTCCCATCAATTTGGTCATGAATTCTCCGCATGAGAACACCATCCTTTATACTGAGACGGTCCCACTGACTCAGTATTTTCTTTGTTTCTCGACCAAATTGTTCTCTTTCCCTTCTTCCTGGGAATTTTTGTTCCTGGACGTGTTTCAACAGCGGCTGTAAGCCACTATCCGTTCTCTGGGCTTCTCTTATCTCTTTGTGATTAAGGCAATTAAAATCACTAATGTCCATATGTCCGGGCTCTGTGGAAATGTGCTCCACCCCGGTCTGCCCGTTTTGCATCACTTGCACCCCGTGAGGGATATCTGTTGACGCTCTGACCTCACATATTCCTGTCAGCGTTTCTTCCTCATCGCCCGGTCTCTCGTAAGGATTCCTTGATAACGCGTCAGCATTACCATTGGACTGCCCTGGGCGATATTTTCTCTCCAGGTCAAGGAGTGCCAATTCTGCTGCCCATCGCTGTTCGATGGATCCCAGCCTTGCTGTGATTTGAAGTTCTTTTTCAATATCTGATAATTTCTCTTCAAGTCTTGTTTGAGACTCTTTCATTGTTTGTCCCATTTTGTTTCTTAAGCCATAACCTCGCCTCTCTGTAGCCTTGCCTTGCCTTACAGAGGGCGATCGTTTCACCGGACAGTGTTGTGCCCTATGTCCGGGTTGTGAGCGGGACAGGCAAATTGGTCGACCATCAGCCGTCCACCGGAGCGATGGACCGGCAGGTCGCGGCTGTCCAACCTGTCTCTGTTTTGTCCCGTTTTTGTCCTGATTCTCTGCTGTTGGCCTGCTTTCTAACCTCTCCAATCGTTGGTCAACCTTATGCAGGTGGGCCAACAGTTGAGCCATCATGGTTTCCATCGTGCCGGTCCCTGTGGGTGGGGATTGTTTCTGTTCCGGCACAGAGACTTTGTCTACCGAACAGTTCGATTGGTCCTCATCCTCGGACCTGCGGATCGCTGAGTTCCTGACCTGAAGGAAGGTCAACTGCGGGTCTTTGTAGACCTCTTCTTTCAAATATCTTCTTGACATAGGGGTCGCCAGCCCCTCGATGAAATGGTCCCTCAGCAGGCGCGCATCCATGTCGGGTATTTTGCCTTTTACCGCTTCAAAGGCCCCGTTCATTCGGTGTGAATACTCCATCACACTCTCCGCCATTCTCTGCTTTATACCAACAAACACCGACAGCAGTTGCGATCCCGACCGTCTCTCCCCAAAGGTCTCCATAATTAGATCCAGCACCTTATCTGGATCTGATTGGATGGTTTTATCGTGGCATTTGACCTCTGCCCTAACCATCTCTCCTATACTGCCCATCAGCAGTCTTAATCTTTCCTCTGGTGACATGTATCTCGAGGCCCAGGCAGCCCTGACCTCTTCACTGAACCTGTTGGTTAAAGTTGGATCCCCGTCCCCGTAAAATTTGTTGATGTGGGACTCACTGGGCAGGACCACAATATGGATCGGCTTTTTGTCCAAATTTTGTCCTGGTCCATCTGGAGGCAAAGGGTCATCCTCACCCTTGCCTATCTCTGGGCTATCTTTATCTGACTCAGATTGTTGGGCCAGCAGGAGTTTCTGTCCCTTTCCGATATCTAAAATACCACTCCCGCGTCTGCCACTCACACCAAGGAAAAATGTTGCAGCTATGCAGCAGATAGTGTTGCCCAACAGGGAGATCATGACACATTTCCAGTATCTAAGAGTTCCATCTATATCTTGGTTGTCATCTTTGCCTAGTATTTGTCCCACAACCAAGTTGGAGATACCAATGCCAATTATCTGGATGCTGGTGGTCAGCCCCATAGGTGTCTCATCTCTGTTCTTTTCAATTTCCTCGATTCTGATTTCAGTTTTCCCTTTTATTTATTTCCTTCAAATAAAAAAAGACATTTCTTACCGTGTGTGTATGAAAAATTTTCCTCGTTCCTCAATTTTCACTGTTCCTGAATGTTCGAATTCACACACACACTAAACACAGTTATGAACAAGGTTGACTATGGGTGCCTAAAGCGGCAAGTCTAGTTGAATTCATCCTGTCCGCAGCGCCAAATGTAACGAGACTATTTGCCTGTAGTGCCAAATGTTAACGAGTTCTGCTCGACAACGCCAAATGTTACCGAGTCTAACCACTCATTCTACACAACATCGACCACAGTATAGATACTCGAAGATGCAGGTTCGCTATTGATCCTTTTATTACATGAATCAAAGAAATGCTTCACAATAATATACTGAATCAAAAGGAATGCTTCACAATAATAGTTTGAATCAACTGACTCCCAACAGTCCTCACTAGTCTTCATATAACTGAATACACATGTCTATCGTCCTTCTTAACACAATATAACCAACTTGATACTGCCACACAGACTGACTGATCGAGAGAGAGAGCCCGAGATCTCAGCCGTCGTCTTCCTATATCCCCTTCATATTCGTAATCGTATTCGGTTCTATCATAATCGTAATTGTAATCGATTCTAATCGTTGCATCCGAATGTTTATTACGCCGCTTCTGTCGTACAGTCCGATTTAATAAGCCATCTGCACTGTGACGTCAGCCTGTGAACTGCGCAGCGGCTTTGTGATCGTTATCAGCATAACACCTGCGTTATTACAACAGTCGTGTCAAAGTTGACAGCGCTTGTCGTATCCTTCCAAACTACGCCGTGGCTTTATGATCGTTATCAGTTGGCTTATCAGTCCAACACCTGCACTATTGCGTTGTTATCATCTTTGGTAACTACACCTAGTTACATATATATATATATATATATATATATATATATATATATATATATATATATACATATCTTTGTTATTTGTTCGATTGTGACTAAAATTGTGGTGTAAATGATGTATTCTGTATACGGTATGCGCGGGTGCACCTTTGAATGCTTTTTGTCTGCATCTTTATGTGCACCTTTTAACATTAAATCCCTGATAAAACTTGTGTGCAGCCCCTAAAGCATCTAAACCTAGGGTGACCAAATGTCCGTCAACCACCATAGACCTTCACGGACATTCAAGGCAGAGCGCCATTCAAAAAACCAGAGACTTTATCTGGTCCAGTAAACAAAGTAAGTTGAGATGTTGACATCAAAGTTGTAGTAGTAGACGAGTGTTGTAATATTTGATCTATAGTTTGTAGTAGTGGTCAAATATCGTCAGATGTTGACGTCAATGCTATGATAGTGCTAAACATCTAGTTGCAATATAAACCCTTCTAAGTACATGAAAACTAAAGTACATTATAAACTATATAACTTCCTGCTCGACAAGAAATACATTCAGTTAGAGGCAGACAGGAAAGAAAAGCAGCAGACAGTACTGAAACTGTGACTTGGCTAAACTCTAAAGTCTAAAGCAATAAATTATTTATTTCCGCCTTTCATTAGACGGCACTAAATCTGTGAAAATCATCACCGGACGCGGCAAGCACAGCCCTAACGGCTTTCCGGTCATCCGGGAAACTCTGAAGAAAATGTTCGACAGAGAGGGGATCAAGTAAGGCATTTGTGTGTGTGTGTGTGTATGTGTGTCAGTGTTTCTTCCAGCCTTTTTCTCCGGGGGGCACTTGAAATCTTCGGGGGGGGGGGGGCGGTAAACTTTCTTCGGGGGGGGGCGGAGACTGTTAAAAGTATATATTTTCTATATAAATTATATAAATTTCATTTCGTTCGGGGGGGGGGGGGGGGGGGCGGTAAAAAAATTTCGGGGGGGGGGGGGGGCTTTGCCCCCCGAAGAGATGCCTGGAAGAAACTCTGATGTGTGTGTGTGTGTGTGTGTGTGAAACATATTGACTTGACTAATCAAAGTTTTGTCCCGTAGTTTTCCAGTATTGAACATTGTCAAAATGTTTTAAGATTTGAGGGCAGAAGAATTAGAGTTCACATGTTTCTTGACCTCGGCATATTAAGGGATGGTGTGGTCACACTATGACCAGTCGCCTTTACTTTCCCCCAACACAATCAACACAACATAGTAGTTTAGTAACGCTTAACACCATCATCACATGCACTCCCCACACACACACCCTGTCCACACACACATTCAACACAACATCTTTGTTTGTTTAATGGTACACAATGCCCATTTAATAAGGTCACATTACTTTCCAGGCACACATCAGACAACAGAGGTGGCGCTGTTGTTATCGACCTTCAATAACTTTCCAAGTTTCATTTTAGAGGCTCTTCTTGTTTTGTGTTGTTTTTTTTTAATCGGATCATAATTATATCAAAAAATTAAATTATTTTTAATAACTCAAATTGTTTTGTTAATTATTTTATTGCTATGCAGTATTTAAAAAAAAGAAGTTCTAAGTTGAAAAAACAAAAGCCTAGTTCATTATCTATTGTAATACCTTACTGACATAAACTGGCTTTAAAGTTCAAGTATACTGCAAAAAAAAAAAAAAAAAAAAAAAAAAAGCAGGCAATGTCTACAGCGAACATCAGACAGAACCCAGCTTCAATGTGTGCAATGGAAAGTCGCGGGCCGTAGTTTGGAGACCCCTGGTCTATGGCATGGCATCATCACTGGCTGTACCCCATGAAGGTGCCGCCAGTGTAACAACAAGACAAAACTGAAGTGCCAGATGTATAATGTTCCTGTTCTGCTCAATGTTTCAAGCGAATTCTATTCCTAACATTATTATATTGTTCAGAGAGTTTTTATTGTAAAACCATTTATAGTATTAAAAAAAGTGTGTACATTTACTTTAAAATAAATATTTCTTTCTACTTGATTACATTTAAATTGAACATGATTATCATTTGCAAGTTATCAAACAATGGAATCATTATACTGACAATACAAACTCATTAACCCTTTATATACTAAGAGGTTCCCTATATTGCCTCACATTTCAATAGAAATTGTTTTATGGCATCTATATATACTGTGACAGTACGTGATAAAGCCAAACCTTCGGACGTTTATTTGCATAAATATTTTAATTTAAAACAAAATCGATAGTCATTCAGTGCACAGAATCGAAACAATATCCCACTTTATTTTTATATTGCAGACCTGGGATAACAAGGATTCATTCCTTTAAACTGTACATTTAGACAGATTTAATTAATTTAAACTTAGTCCTTATGTTAATTAAACTATTTGTCTTCAGTGACATAGATGAACCTGGTTCAAACGCTGACCCTTAATATTCTTTGAATAAGCCAGAATCGAACCTCTACCTTAACCTAAACCCTTATCCTTACACCAGCTATAACACAGGTCATTATCGTAAACGTTGCTTTTAAACCAACGAATGCCATACATCAGACTCAGACCTTGACCTAGAACCCTAATCGTAACCCTCATAACAAACCGACAGAAACAATCGATACAATGCTTTATTGTACTGTCTTTACATATTTAACCAGACGACGATCATGTTAAATGGTAGAATCGCTCAACCAAAACCGAACAAATCACGTGTGTTTCTATATTTAGTGACAAACATGTCCGAGTACCGTTGGTTGCTATGATACGTGAGCTTTAAGGGGAAATAACTTAATGAATTTGAAATAATTCCAGGAATTCCCGTTGTAAACAACCATATCAAGACATAGTGCCCTAGCTTTGTTCTACAAAGACAAAACTGGATAAAAATAAACCGCGTAACCTGTTTGTGCAGTGGACTGTGACACAAATTTTGGCGACATTCAGACTAGCAGTATGGAGCTGACGGACACCCAGATTTATATAATAAGTGGTGTAGCAGCGACTATCGCTGTTTGTCTAATTTGTTTGATTGGCTGCTGCTGCAAAGTAAGAACATATTTTCATTTTTAAAAGGGTCGAATAGTTTTAACTGTACACATGATTATTAGTTTAAAATTTCTATTTTTCATGCATTTGATTCACCACATCAACAGTATTTAACTCTGTTTATCGTTTTTGGGATTATGTTTGGACAATTTCAGACAATAAAAATGCTATTGACCAAGGCTCACATTTTACACACATGAAATTAATTGTTTCGCTGTGTTGTATAATGTTTTTGGTTGATGTCTATTGTTTTTTAACAAGTACTGCTGTGGTGGGGGACGGAAAAGAAACAACGGCACACGGAGGAGTGAAAAATGTAAGTCTTTGATGGCATTCCCAATAGATTTGTCTATATAATAGAGTGGATGGGTGGCACTAACTTATCATTTACAATCACTTTAATACAAATTTTCTAAAAATTGTAACCTTTGTTTAAAACATTACCGTTAATCTTTCAATTAAATATGTTTATTCTGCCTTGTGTTTCTATACACACTTCCAAAACACACCCAATGATGTCTAAAACAAAATACACATTATCAACAACTAGGCGACACGTATCTGTTAGTTGTTAGATTGGGCGTGCAGTTGTGGAATACAAGATTGTTTTAGTAAACAGTGGGCATCTTTTGAGTGCTTTTTTGTGATATTGTTATGTGGATCTTTAGTGTGCATCTTTGGTGCTATTTTTGTGTGCATCTTTAGTGTGCATCTTTTGTGCTATTGTTATCGGGATCTTTACTGTGAATCTCTGGTGCTATTGTTATGTGGATCTTTTGTGTGCATCTCTGGTGCTATTGTTATGTGGAACTTTAGTGTGCATCTTTGGTGCTATTGTTATGTGAATCTTTAGTGTGCATCTTTGGTGCTATTGTTATGTGGATCTTTTGTCTGCATCTTTTGTGCTATTTTTGTGTGCATCTTAAGTGTGCATCTTTTGTGATATTGTTGTGGGGATCTTTTGAGTGCATCTCTGGTGCTATTGTTATGTTGATCTTTACTGTGCATCTTTTGTGTTATTGTTGCATGGATCTTTTGAGTGAATCTTGAGTGTTCATCTTTTAACATTAAACCCCTGGCTACACTTGTGTGCAGCCCCTAAAGCATCTAAACCTAGGGTGACCAAATGTACGTCAACCACCATAGACCTTCACGGACATTCAAGGCAGAGCGCCATTCAAAAAACCAGAGACTTTATCTGGTCCAGTAAACAAAGTAAGTTGAGATGTTGACATCAAAATTATAGTAGTGGTCAACTATGATGCATTGTTGACATATACGTGTAGCAATATTCAACTTTTCTGTACTGTTGACATCTAGATATAGTAATAGCCAATTTTGTGTAATGTGGACATCTAGATATAGTAATAGCCAATTTTGTGTAATGTGGACATCTAGATATAGTAATAGCCAATTTTGTGTAATGTTGACATCTAGATATAGTAGTGGCCAATTTTGTGTAATGTTGACATCTAGATATAGTAGTGGCCAATATTGTGTATTGTTGACATCTAGATATAGTAGTGGCCAATTTTGTGTAATGTTGACATCTAGATATAGAAGTGGCCAATATTGTGTATTGTTGACATCTAGATATAGTAGTGGCCAATATTGTGTAATGTTGACATCTAGATATAGTAGTGGCCAATTTTGTGTAATGTTGACATCTAGATATAGCAGTGGCCAATTTTGTGTAATATTGACATCTAGATATAGTAGTGGCCAATTTTGTGTAATGTTGACATCTAGATATAGTAGTGGCCAATTTTGTGTAATATTGACATCAAGATATAGTAGTGGCCAATTTTGTGTAATGTTGACATCTAGATATAGCAGTGGCCAATTTTGTGTAATATTGACATCTAGATATAGTAGTGGCCAATTTTGTGTAATATTGACATCTAGATATAGTAGTGGCCAATTTTGTGTAATGTTGACATCTAGATATAGCAGTGGCCAATTTTGTGTAATGTTGACATCTAGATATAGCAGTGGCCAATATTGTGTAATGTTGACATCTAGATATAGTAGTGGCCAATATTGTGTATTGTTGACATCTAGATATAGTAGTGGCCAATTTTGTGTAATGTTCACATCTAGATATAGTAGTGGCCAATTTTGTGTAATATTGACATCTAGATATAGTAGTGGCCAATATTGTGTAATGTTGACATCTAGATATAGCAGTGGCCAATATTGTGTAATGTTGACATCTAGATATAGCAGTGGCCAATATTGTGTAATGTTGACATCTAGATATAGTAGTGGCCAATATTGTGTAATGTTGACATTTAGATATAGCAGTGGCCAATATTGTGTAATGTTGACATCTAGATATAGTAGTGGCCAATTTTGTGTAATATTGACATCTAGATATAGTAGTGGCCAATATTGTGTAATGTTGACATCTAGATATAGCAGTGGCCAATATTGTGTAATGTTGACATCTAGATATAGCAGTGGCCAATATTGTGTAATGTTGACATTTAGTTATAATAGTGGCCAATTTTGTGTAATGTTGACATCTAGATATAGTAATGGCCAATATTGTGTAATGTTGACATCTAGGCGGTAGTAAACAATTCAAAGCGTGTGAAAACTGCTAAAATACGTAGTACACAATGACTCATGTCATTAGGAAAACAAATGTCGTGTCACTAGACGGTCGCGGTGGTCAGGGAAAGAAAATCAGACGCAGACAAGAAAATTTGTTAGACGCAGACAGGTAAAAAACTGTGATAAACTGTAAAGCTATAAATGACATTTTATCTTGCATTAGACAGCACCAAATCCGTGAAAATCATTACGGGACGCGGCAATCACAGCCCGAACGGCTTTCCAGTCATCCGAGAAACTCTGAAGAAAATGTTCAACAGAGAGGGGATCAAGTAAGGAATGTGTGTGTGTGTGTATGTGTGTATGCGTGTGTGTGTGTGTGCGTGCGTGTGTGAGTGTTTGTGTGTGTGTGCATGTTTGTGTGTATGTGTGTGTGCGTGTGTGTGTGCGTGCGTGTGTGAGTGTTTGTTAGTGTGAAAGTTGACTTATCGAACCAAAGTTTTGTCCTTTGAAACCCCAGCTTTCCACTGTTGAGCATATTTAAATGAAACTAAGAGACGTTAGGACATGAAATTCCGTCTAATCCCACATTTGTTCGATTTCCCCAAAAATCGCACTCATCACACATCCCAATTTGTAAACACTGGTTTACCGGACATCAACCCACCCCACAATACAACACACATTCGCACATCTAAGAGAAGCCGTAATGATTAATGCTAATGTCACACGCTTTCTCAATATCCCCCACCCCTCCCCACTACACTCCACCCCCCACCCCTTCTACACACATCCAACATAACTTGTTTACTTGTTCGGTGATGCATAATACCTGAGTTTTAAAGCGCCTAATTACTCTCCAGATACACCCCAGTTAACGGAGGTGGAGCTGTTGTCTTTAACCGTTAACAACATTCAAAGATCGAACTTAGATGCCTTTTTTTGGTGCTAATAACATTTTAAAATGTCAAATTTTACATATCTTGAAATTATTAAATTTTAAATAACTCATTAAATGTATGTGGTTTTTTTTTACTACAGAGTATTTTTGAAAAGTCCTATATAATAATAACAAAAGCTCATATACAATATAGAATCATATACACAATTAAATAAGAAAAGCCTATCTACACAAAAAAAGTAAATAAAAAAAGCCTTTTTACGAAAAGTAAATACCAAGGCTATTTACGAAAGTAAATACTAAAGGCTATTTACGAAAGTAAATACTAAAGGCTATTTGCAAAAAGTAAATAACAAAAGCTCCTATACAAAAAGTAAATAACAAAAGCTTATTTACAAAAAGTAAATTATAAAAAGACTAATTACAAAAAGTAAATAACAAAAGCTTATTTACAAAAAGTAAATTATAAAAAGACTAATTACAAAAAGTAAATAACAAAAGCTTATTTACAAAAAGTAAATTATAAAAAGACTAATTACAAAAAGTAAATAACAAAAGCTTATTTACAAAAAGTAAATTATAAAAAGACTAATTACAAAAAGTAAATAACAAAAGCTCATATAGACCTACAAAAATAAATAACAAAAGCCTATCTACAAAAAGTAAATAACAAAAGACCGTTTACAAAAAGTAAATAACAAAAGACTATTTGTAAAAAATAAATAATCTTGTATCTTCTGATGTTTTTATTTATTTGCTGCTTTTAAGAAGATTGGTCTTCCCCAAACGGTCGATCTCGGAAAGTTTTACCAATAACGGTTAATTTGTTTACTAAAGTTATATAACCATTCGGTTAAAGAAATGCGTTTTTAATGTAACACTTAACTAAAGTAAACTGACTATAAAATGTTAGTAGGCCTACACTGCGAAAACTAAAAGGGAAAGACGGGTCGACAGAGAACATCTGACAGAATCGATCGATGTGGAGTAGAAGATCGTTCTGATACGAACAGACCAGTTTGACGTGGTGTTTTTTAAATCCTAATTATGTTTTTCCCAAGGTTTTTTGCCGTTATTTTATTGCAATTCTGAAGGGTTGAAACGAGATGACTATTTAAAAAAATGAACAAGGGTTAAACACCAGGTGTGGAGAGAAAAAATATCAACTACAAAAAGCTCTAGATCTAGAAAAATTGTCGCAAAATTAAATGTTGCTTGAATGGGGCAGACATTATGGAATTGTATTAGCCTGTGAAAATAATGGAAAAAAATACATTGACATAACTATGCCTAACGAGGGTTAAATTTCAGATGTTAAAAGAACAAAATTCAAATTTTGGCTTGATTTGGCAGTCGTTATAGATACTGTATTAGCGCGTGAAATCTGTTCAAACACATTGACGTAAGTGATCTTTAATTAGACCTTTGTTTAGAAAACAAAATACAAAATTATTACAATTTTCGGCCTTGTAAAGTTGGACACTAGAAGAGAATACGATTTAAGTGAAGATTGGGTTTCTAAAACAAAGTGTTACATCACACAATTATCCGGTATAAGTAAATAGCTCTACACGTATTGAAAAATTAAAGGAGACCATACAAAACTGAGGTGCTGAGTACAAATTAGAGAATTTTTTCTTTGCCTACACACAATCTAAACATCAAACTCCACAAGATGTAGTATTGTATAAATACCTACCTAGGTGATTACCTACATAACTACACAAGAGGTAGTATGTATAAAAACATAGGTGATTACCTACATAACTACACAAGAGGTAGTATGTATAAAAACATAGGTGATTACCTACATAACTACACAAGAGGTAGTATGTATAAAAACATAGGTGATTACCTACATAACTACACAAGAGGTAGTATGTATAAAAACATAGGTGATTACCTACATAACTACACAAGAGGTAGTATGTATAAAAACATAGGTGATTACCTACATAACTACACAAGAGGTAGTATGTATAAATACCTAGGTGATTACCTACATAACTACACAAGTGGTATTATTGTATAAATACCTAGGTGATTACCTACATAACTACACAAGAGGTAGTATGTATAAAAACATAGGTGATTACCTACATAACTACACAAGAGGTAGTATGTATAAAAACATAGGTGATTACCTACATAACTACACAAGTGGTATTATTGTATAAATACCTAGGTGATTACCTACATAACTACACAAGAGGTAGTATGTATAAAAACATAGGTGATTACCTACATAACTACACAAGAGGTAGTATGTATAAAAACATAGGTGATTACCTACATAACTACACAAGAGGTAGTATGTATAAAAACATAGGTGATTACCTACATAACTACACAAGAGGTAGTATGTATAAAAACATAGGTGATTACCTACATAACTACACAAGAGGTAGTATGTATAAAAACATAGGTGATTACCTACATAACTACACAAGAGGTAGTATGTATAAATACCTAGGTGATTACCTACATAACTACACAAGTGGTATTATTGTATAAATACCTAGGTGATTACCTACATAACTACACAAGAGGTAGTATGTATAAAAACATAGGTGATTACCTACATAACTACACAAGAGGTAGTATGTATAAAAACATAGGTGATTACCTACATAACTACACAAGAGGTAGTATGTATAAAAACATAGGTGATTACCTACATAACTACACAAGAGGTAGTATGTATAAAAACATAGGTGATTACCTACATAACTACACAAGAGGTAGTATGTATAAAAAC